TCGCTCCAAACTATTAATCAATCAATGTTTATTAAGTGCCTGCCATATACTAGACACTGTGCCAAATGGAGGGGATTCAAGATGAGGCAAAAGATATTCCTTGCCCTCCAGGAGTTTAAAATCTAAAGGGAGATTCAACATGCAAACAAATATAGTCAAAGCAAACTATATGCAGAATAAATAGGAAATAATTAACAGAAGGAAGGCATTGAAATGAAGAAGGCTTGGAGGAAGCTTCCAATAAAAGATGGGATTCTAGTTTGGACTCAGAGGAAGCCAGGGAAGTCAGTAGGTAGACCTGAGGAGGGAAAGGATTTCATGTATTGGGGACAGTCCAAGAAGGTGAGTGTCTGTGAAACAGCCACGAAGCTGGCATCACTGGACTGGGGCACATGTGGAGAATAAGAGGTAAGGAAACTAGAAAGGCAGGAGGGGGCTGGGTCATGAAGGGCTTTGAATGCCAAACAAAGCATTTTGTATTTGCTCCTGGAGGCGATAGGAAGCCACTGGAGTTCATTGACTGGGGGGTAGGGGGCAAGGGGAGTAACATGATTGGATGGACTCGTACTTTAGGAAAATCACGTAAAGAGAGACTTGAGGCAGGCTGGCCTGCCAGCAGGCTGTTACCAGGTGTGAGGTGATGAGGGCCTACACTGAGAGGCGGCAGTGACAGAGAAGAGAAGGGAGCTTATTAGGGAGATGATGCAGAGGTGAAATTGACAGGCCTTGGCAAGAACTTGACTATGGGGGATCTGAAATAATGAGGAGTTGAGGATGACTCCTAGGTTGTAAGCCTAAGCAACTGGGAGGTTTGGTTGCTATCTGTAGTAACAGGGAAGTTTGAGGAGGGGAAAGATAATTTAGTTTCGGTTATGTTTAGCTTCAGGTGCCTAAAAGGCAGATGGAATTGTGAGAATGGAGGTTGGCAGAGTCTGGGGCAAGAAAAGGTAGATTTGAGAATCATCAACATGACGATGGTAATTAAACCCATGGGAACTGATGAGAGAATAATCTAGTTAGGGATATTATTTGGTGCCTGGGCCTGGCATAAAAGAGGAAGTCCAATCGGCAAGTGTGGTGCTCATCTGGAGTAACCTTTTTGGTCCATGACAATGTCAGGGCTAGTAAACACATGCTTCACTTCTGCAAGACCACGGCCAGGCCACATGATGAGATTACAAAGTAAAATAAATAGGGCCAATGAGGGCAGGAAAAAAAAAAGGGGGGGAGGCTGAAGCCCAGGAAAGAGCACTGAACCGGGAGTCAGGAGACCTGGTCCTGATTCCGGCTCTTCCCCCAAATCCCTGCGTGACCTTGGTCAAACCACTTCCTTTTACAAGGCCTCTGTTTGCTGCTACAAAATGAGGGGGTTGAAACAGGCGATCTCTGCTATCCCTTCTAGTTTTGACTGCTTATGTTCTAAGACTCCCTCTAACTCTGATGTCCTTTATTATATTTTCTGGTGTCAATTCCAGCACTGTCCTAAGGTCCCTCAAAGGTCACACATGAAGTGACACAAACCAGGCCTTGAATCTAGGTCTCCTGGTTCTTGTATCTCAAATGTCACTGAAAATCTGGCAGCTATGACATAGAGATGAAGACCCTGAACCCTTCACATGAACACCCCTCTGGAGCATGAAACCAACAAAACAGAAACCAGTCCCTGGGCTTCAGATGATAGTAAGATGATACTGTACTGAGCTCCTGACCACTCTAACACCAAAGGAAAAACATCTTCCTTCATCCCCTTAAAACAAGAATTCTCTTTTCTTCAGCCACTGGCTAAAAAAATTTCATAAGACTTGGCAGCTGAGAAGCTCCCAAATAAAGAGGAGCTCCTCAGAAAACTCCTGACTTCAGCCTTAGAGAAACAAAAATTCTAAATGAGATTTCATGGCCATATTTGAAGCACATTTGAAAATTTGCCAATTAAGAAGCCCTGAACTTGAAGTTATAAAAACCAAGTTCAAACCCCAGCTCTGCAGTTCCTTTGTTGTCTGATCTTAGGCAAGTCACTCCCCATTTGTTAGCTTTGGTTTCCCCATCCATAAAAGATAATAATTCTCCCTGAGCTTCCTGCACAGAATTGTAATAACCAAACAAAGTGATAGACAGCTTTCCAGCAGCTCTCTATTTGTAGATGCTTTTTCATCTTTCTTCCCACCGCAGATGGAATAATGGTTTGTTGTCCATTGCCCCAACTAAGTCTATAGGCGATAAACAAACTTGTCTATAGATCTCGAACTACTGTTTTATGTGTAGCATTAATTCATGTAGCTTTCTGTTGGGAAGCATCTGTGTTCTGAAAACCCAAAGAACTTAACCAGGTGTCTTCAAAACATAGCAGGCAGCATGGTGCAGTTTAGTAATATTGGGTGAGGATTCGAAAGACAGGTTCCAGTCTCTGCTTGACCATTAACTCACTACAGGATCTTGGGTAAATCACTTCCCTTCTCTGGGCCTCAGTTTCCTCATATGTAAAATAAGGGGACTGAACTAGATAACCCCTAAGGTCTCTTTGAGCTCTAAGATTTTAGGTTCTAAGAGTCTTTTCATATTTGACATTGCATGCTGTATTCCCTAAAGTCTCTTCTGGCTGTAAATAACTTTCTGTATTCTATCTTTTAAGGTCCCTTCCAGCAGTGATATTCTATGCGCTATGTTCAAGGAATTTTTCCAGCTTTAAACATTCTATAAGTCTCTGATTCTATGTAACTATAAAGCTCTTTATAAATGTAAGTTACTGCAAGATTCACCACTTGGTGGAACTCTGCTGGGCCTCTCAGAACACTGACCTATGAGGGGGCTCATCAAGGATTAGCTTACATTTTCTAAATGCTCAGGTGGATCTCTGGTTCTGTTTGTCTGCTACCTCAGGGCCTTGCTAATCCTAGAACATCAAAGTTGCAAGGGTCCTTGGAATACAGAATGTCATAGCTTGAAGGAACACATCTTAAAGCACAGAACACAGAATATCAGAACTGGAAGACCTTCAAAGACCACCTATTTCAAACCCCTGTAGATGAAGAAATTGAGCCTTGAAGAGGGAATGATCTATGACCAAGTAATGATCAAGTGCGTAGCACCATAGCAAGTCTCCAAACAAGCAATGTCCCCAGTGCTCTTTTCACCAGCCTTTGTTGTCTCCTCACTGAGGAACAGAGAGAGGCTCAGGGAAGATTTGTTCCTTGTGCAAGCTCACCCACCTCATAAAGGGCTGGGGCAGGATCAGAACCTAAGGCTCTGAACTCTGAGGCCAGCATGCTTTCCATTACAACCTGTGGCCCCTCCTACAGAGATGGTCTGCCCGAAGGTCAATATCCTCTGGTCAATGGCCTTGTATTTTCATTTTCCCCTGTTTTCTCTCATGTCCCGTGTGCCTCCTTCAAAAAAGACATCACAGCCAGCCTATGATGGGAGGCCCCAGGCTCTTCTCCCACTCTGTGCCTGTGCAGTCTCAAAGCTGACGAGGTCACTCTCAAGTGAGGCTGGCCTAGACACATTCTGTTCTCATTCCTCTCTCTGCCAGATGTGGGATGGAGAGGAGATTCAAAGGCAAGCAAAAACACCCTCTGCCTCTGAGCAGTCTGCCAACACTGGGGGAGGCATGATCCTAGTGTGCGTCATCATGGAAAGGGGCCTGCAGAGGCCACACACTCCCCAAATACCTGGATGCATTCCCAGATTGTACTTAAGGCCTTTGATGGCTCTACACAGAACATCTGTGCCCAAGATGAACCTTCACAGTTCACAGGAAAGAAAGGAATCTCCCTACATTTTAGTAACATTCAGTAAGCAATTGCCATGTAAGGGCCCTTTGCTAGGTGCTAGGGAGAGACAGAAATAAGAAGCAGTCCTCTTTCTTTAAAGAGCTAGCAGTCTAGTAGAGAATTTATTCTTTTCATTATTAATGATAACAGTCAGCATTTACATAGCATTTTATAGATCAAGGTAAGGGACACGAAGGAGTATTGGGGCTGGAGTCATTATACCTGAGTTATTCTGATGCTTGTCACTCCTGTGACTTTGGGCAAATCTTTACATTCAAAGATCATGGCAAATGAGAGAGGTACCATGAGATTAGGGAAGGGGAAATGCCCTAGTTTTCAAAAAAGAGAACAAGATCTGCAAATTGTAGGCCAGTGAACTTGTCTTTGATTCTGGACTAGGTGGTTAAAGAGATGGCTGGCAAATATCTAGAAAGAGAAGCAAGGTAATTACAGAGTCAGGGCTTCACCAAAAACAGGTCATTTCTACTAACTTCATTTCCTTTTTTTAACAAGATTACTAAACACATAGGTGAGAACAGTAAGATACAGTTTTTCTAGACTTTTGCAAAGCTTCTGATAAAATATCTCATTACTTGTGGAAAAGATGAAGAGATATTGATTAAATGATTAAACAATTAGATGGATTCAGACTGGTTGGATGGCCAGACTCAAAGAGCAGTTGGTTAATGGTTCAATGTTAATGTAGCACTTGTCTCTATTAAAATTCATTCATTTAATTTCATGTGACATTTGGCCCAGTATTTTAACTTATGAGACCCTCTTATCCAATGTGTTAACTATCCCTCTCCTAGCTTTGTGTCACTTGCAAACTTCCCAAGTTCGCTTCTATGCTTTTATACACAGCTTCTATGCTTTCACCCGACACTAATTTAAAAAAGAATAAAACAGCATAGACAAGTAAATCCCTGGAGCCTTCCTCTAGAGACCTCCTCCCAAGTTGATATTAAACCATCAATGACTACCTTTTAGGTCTAACATCCAATGAGTTCTGAGTCCACCTAACTGTAATCTCATCTAGTCTATATCATTCCGTCTATCCCCCCCCAAAAAAAAAACCAACCCAGAAATAGCATGAGAGACTTTCTCTAGATGTTTTACTAAAATCTAGGCAAACTATGTCTCCTGTTCTCCCCAGTCTTTCAAAGATCACCAACAGTGGCCCAGAAGTCATATGGGCTAGTTCTTTAGGTACCTCAAGATGTCACTCACCTGTGCCAAGTGATTTGAACTCATCAAGGACAGCTGGGTGCTCTTTCATTGTTTCCTGACTTATCTTGGGTATCAACTCCATAAGAGGCACGCTTTTTCCAGTCTAAGGATCATTCTCTTTACCAGAGAAAGCAGAAGCCAAGGAAGAATGGAGAAGATGTATATTCTGTCATCGGTGACCATCACCACAATCCTTTACATGTTATTTTATCTCATTATAATGTAAACTCCTGTAGGACAGGGGCTGTCTTCTGTTTGTATTTGTATCCTCAGTGCTGAACACAGGGCCTGGCACATACTAAATGTTTAATAAATGCTTTTTCCTTCATTCAATAGCCTCTTAATTTGTCTCCCTTTCTCAAGTTTCTCTTTTTTCCAAGTTATATTCTGAAAACTCAGTTCTGACCATGTCACTTCCACAGTTAATAAACGACATTGGTATCTTATTGTCTCTCGGTCAGATTCAAACTTTTCTGTGTGGCATTTAAAGCCCTTTACCACCTAGCTCCAACCTATCTTTCTAGTATTATTATACATTGTGCCCCTTCACACCTTCTTACGGTCCCAACCAAAATGGCCTTGTTTGAACATATATCACTTCATCTTCAGTTTCTGCACCTTTGCGAAGTCCTTCCTCCATAGCTAGAATGCTCTCCCCTCCTCATTTTTGCCTCTTACAATGCCTAATTTCTTTCAAAGCTCAGCTCCAGTTCTACCTCCTACATGATGCTTTTCCTGATCCCCACAGTTGCTCATGTTTTCCCCGACCAATTACTTTGTCACACACACACACACACACACACACACACACACACACACACACATATGTATGCATGTGCAGGTTTCCTTTAATTTTTTGTCTTTCTATCCCCAATGTCTACTAAAGTACCTGGCATACAGCAGGTACTTAATAAATGCTTGTTAAGTGACAGATCCCCAAGTCTCATAATATTTCCGTTCACAGACTACTATGGTAAAGTAGTCTTGCAAAAAAGATGTACCAAAATTTATGCAAGAATGCTGTGGTTTATAATGGGATGTTCTGATCATTTTAATTTATTAATTTATTCAAGAAAAACATTTAGATGTATTAACAATGATGAATATATTAATAGATGTGATCACTATAATGAAGGAATGGCATTATGAATAATAATATGATGATTAACCTGAAAGCAGCCTGCACAGCACCTGAAAGACTTCTAGAACACTGGATCATGATTTGAGAATTGCTGCATCCACTCATGCCCACACTTGTGGGGCTTTAGCATAGATATGTGGAGAGTCTCTATTTCTATAAGCTATTTTTTGTTTATTTTAACTTCACCATCATGCACCATTTTTCACCCATTGTCTCAGTACTTGTTTAAGTAACTTTACTGCATACATTTGTATGAAAGGAAAACTGGCATCATACCCTGTTTTATTGATAAATTTTCTTTAATTATTATCTTATTAAATTTTCCTCTTAACAGTCCCACATAAACCTTGTAAGGAATTGTTGATATTTAATTAAAAGTAAACAACAAATTCTGTCAAAGATATGACATACAGTGGTATGAGATACTAAATTTTGAGGCATCATGGGTATAGTGGAGAGAGGACTGGATAGGAGACCAAGTTCAAATTCCATCTCAAATACTATTGTGTAATTTTAAGTAAGGCACTTTACCTCTCCAAGCCTCAGTTTCCTCATCTGTAAAATATGGATAGTAATTTTTGTAAACTTTAAAGTACTATGTAAGTGAGGTTTTTGAATTATTTTTTTTATTTTTAGTTCTAAATTCTTTCTTTCCTTCCAGCCCCTCCCCCACCCATTGAGAAGGCAAGAAATGGCATTCATTATACATATGAAGTCATGCAAAACATATTTCTACATTAACCATGTTGCAAAAATATAAGCAAGAAAAAAATAAAGTAAAAAAATATGAATTTGTCAGTTCTTTCTCTGGATGTGGATAGCATTTTTCATCATGAGACCTTTGGAATTGTCTTGGATCACTGTATTGCTAAGAATAGCTAAGTCGTTTACATTTCATCACAGTGCAATATTGCTATCACTGTATACAATCTTCTACTGGTTCTGTTTACTTTACTTTGCATCAGTATAAGTCTTCCTGGGTTTTTCTGAAACCATCCTGCTCGTCATTTCTTATTGCATAATAGTATTCCATCACAATCACATACCACAACTTGTTCAGTCATTCCTCAATTGATGGACATATCGTTAGCTTCCAATTCTTTGCCACCACAAAAAGAACTTCTCTAAATACTTTTGTATATACAGATCCTTTTGATTTTTCTTTAATCTCTTTGGGGTATAGACTCAGTAGTGGGATTAAAGGGTCAAAGGGTATGCAGAGTTTTATAGTCCTTTGAGCATAATTCCAAACTGTTCTCCAGAATGGTTGGACCAGTTCACAACTCCACCAAGAGTGAATTTGTGTCCCTGGTTTTCCATATCCCCTCCAGAATTTGTCATTTTTCTTTTCTGTAATGTTAGCCAATCAATCTGAGAGGTGGGAGGTGGTATCTCAGAGTTGTTTTAACATGAATTTTTCTAATTATTAGTGATTGAGAGCACTTTTTCATATGACTATAGATAGCTTTGATTTCGTCTTCTGAAAAATGCCTGCTCATATCCTTTGAGCATTTATTAATTGAGGAATGACTTATTTCATAAATTGGCTTGGGTCCCTATATATTTGAGAAATGGGACCTTTAACATATAAACTTGTTATAAAATTTTTTTTTCACCATTTCCTCCTAATTTTGGCTACCCAGTTCTGTTTTACAAAACTTTTAAAATTTAATGTAATCAAAATTATCCACTTTACCTCCCATGATCTCTATTTCTTTTTTTGTCATGAACTAAATGAGTTTGCTTTTCATTAAGTACTAAAGTAATGTTAATAATTCTAGAGAGCCAAATTTGTCTTTTTCTCAAGACAAGTAAAAAGTCTTTTTCTAATATCGTGTAACAATTCACTTTCTCCTACAACAGAAGCACAAGTGCTTAAGAAAACACTTGTGGGATTAGAAGGCATATAAGCTCCCACCTGGTTTAGTTCTCTTCTCTTCCCATCATGTCTTCAGATTTTCAGCTCTTGACTAACCACTATAGACAGTCTGAGGAACAAAAGAATTAAAAAAAAAAGGTAAGGTCAGAGAAAAGTGGTTAAATTCAATAAACATTTATTAAATGCTTACTATGTGGCCACCATTGTGCATTGTGAAGGATGGATAAAATTTCAACATGTTATGAAGCAAGGAAGGCAGACTGGTCACAGAAAAATGTAAAAGCAAAGACTGAGAGACAGGAAATCTCGATGGTGTAGGGGAACACGTGTCCAGAAGACTATATAGTCTGGATTGGTTGTAGTACAGAGTACATGAAGGGGGGCAGTGGAAGACAAGCTACAAAAAGAGGCTGGTTGGGGCCAGATCAGGCAAGGCCTTGCAAGTCAAACTGAGGAGCTGGGACAAATAACAAATCAATCCACTGCTCTGGCAAGGACTTCTCAAGTTTTAAGATTCTTCCATAGGATTTGCCTGTCTCTTCAAGAACACCTGATCATCTTAGGCAGGACTGCCTTAACATTCCCCTAAGGTATCGATGCTCATTCAGGGTCAGATAGTTGTGTTACCAATTACTTTACCCTACTGAGAGGGTTAGCTTTGCTTACCTCACTTGAGTCTAATACCTTTATCTTCTGTTAAATTGGTAAAAATTTTCCTTTTTAAAAACAAAAAGGATGCCCACAGCCTTGTCTTAGGGCTATAGTCACAGAAATGTCAGAACTGGAAGGGACTCTAGAACACAGAACATCAGAAATGAAAGAGATGCTAGAATAGAATGTCAGAGTTAAAAGGTGCCTTCGAGATCATCTGGTACAATTTAAAAATTTTAAAAATTAGTCATGAATAGCACTGAGAGGGAAAGTGAATTATATAATTACTCTTACATTTATGTATTCTAAATCCATAAACATTGAGTTAGTGCCTTGTAAAAGCCCCTGTTTAGGAGGGAGGGGCCCTTCCATTTTTACAGTTCTAAGAAGCAATGAGATATCTGCCACCTTGTCCTATAAACCCAGTTAAATGCATTTTCTCATATGATCGTGAAGCTCTGATGGTGAGTTACAACAGTAGCAGTAATTTTCAGCCACCTGATACCTCAAGCAGATGCTTTGACCTTCAAATCAAGTGAGCCTTTCTCAGTGCTTGGAAGAGCAGAAACAGTAAAATGGGGTGCTTCATAATTCAATGAAAGAAAAAAGGACTCAATATAGTCTATGCCACATAGTAAAATAATAAGGAAAACAAAAACAAAGGGAGGGTTTGGTGCCCTCCTGGAAAGAAAAAACATTGAATGTTAGATAAGAAGTACCTTAGGACTTGTTGTCAGAACTGGAAAGGACCTTAGAACTGAATATCAGAATTGGGAGAGATTTTAAAGATCATCCAGGCCAATCATTTTACAGGAGAATCTGAGGAACACGTGGAATTGCATTAGATGTCAAATGTAAGAGATTCTATTTCACTTCTGTGCAGCTCTTTTACCTACTCTAAATTTACATGTTCAATATTTACAAGGAAAGAATATAAATTTAGAGCTTGAAGGTCATCTTGTCCAATTCAATCACAAACAGGGAAACTGAGGCCCCCAAAGGGGAAAGGTCCAGAGTCATAGAGTCAGTAAGTGGTATGGCCTGAACAAGAGCTGAAGTTCAGTATATTTTCCACTATACCATGTATCTAACAGGACAAGATACAAGCAGTTTTGAGCAACTGCCAAAGTGTGGGCCAAACCAGGATGAAATTCAAGCCATGGTTAAATTAAAGATCTAGTGATAATTTTGTACTATGTTTTTATTCCATTCCTTCAAATTGCCTCTAATTTCAGATATTTCTAGAACAGGGCTCTCCAGCCTTTTAGTGAGGAAAACTACTTTTATTTCCTCAAAGCCCATGTGATCAGATGGTCATAGGGCCTAGAGCTAGAAGGTCTCCTGTAGAGTTCTTCATTTTGTTTGTATCATGGATCCTTTGGGAGATCTGGTGAGGCCTATGGAATCTTTCTCAGAATAACATTTTTAAATGCATAAAATAAAATATACAGGATTACAAAGAAAACCAATTATATTAAAATACAGTTCTCTCTATATATACGTATATATGCATACACACACACACACACACACACACACACACACACACATATGTATTTTTTTAAGTTCATATTCCCCAGGTTAAGAACCTCTTCATTTTACAAATGAGGAGACCCCAGGAAACTAAGTGACCTGCCCAAGGTTACACAGTTAATAAGTGTTGGAAGCAGAATAATCTGAACCTAAACTCCCTGACTAAATATAACATGATCACTGACACCACACAGATGTACTGGTGTGACAAGTACAGCAGGTGGAAAAGAGTGAATGGGTTACTGGGATCAGAGAGCATGACCCCTCCATGCTAGAAATCCTTCTGAACTGCCTTAAGGAGAGACTGCCAAGAAAACCTTTAATACCTAGTGACTATTGCCTTGTGCCTCATCTGGCAGGCAGGCATTCAGGGCTTTCTGCCACCTCGTGCCACCTAACCTTTCCAGCCTCGTCTCACTTTACTTTCTTTTCAGTATTCTTATACTTGGTATTCTGAGAATCAAACGCGACTGTGCGCTGTCCCTCTACTCATGTTCTATGCTTTCCCAACCTCTCTATGTTTGCTCATGCTATTATATATACCTGGAAGTTCTAGCTTTAAAAATCCTACCCACCCTTTAAGACTCAGCTCAGACACCAGCTCCTTCATGAAGGCTTTCCTGATCCACAGTGCGTCACCCCACCACCCCCACCATTCCTACTCCGTGTCAGAATTTTTGTTTTCATTCTCTAATCTCAGATGGCACTTTGCTCCTCTGTTATGCTTTTATGATGTTATTTTTCTGCACTATAGCTATTGTATACATACGAGGCTGATCAGAGCATTCTCAAGGGTAAAATTTGTTTAGCGCCTTGTAGCTTATTAACTGGGGATAAAATGATTGGCTCAAAGTTCTCCTCTTCATGCTGACACATAAGAGGATGTCAGCAGCAGAGCTGTGTCCCCTTTTGCCTTTTTTTCTCTTCAGAGGACAGGCCAGAGAACAGTACAGCTAAGATTAGACCTGGGTTCCACTGCTAATTGAAGCTTTGGGTCAGCGGCATGGGGGGAGGGGAAGAAAGAGGCTACATTTGCTCTCATCTATGTAGTCCAATAGCAGAGTTCCTGGATCTTAAATTCTGGTCCCACCCTTGGAGTGGCAGTGGCCTAATCTGTGAGATGACAGGTGTGTAGCCATGAAGAGGGGAGCCACATGACCAAGTGGTGGGACAGTCTGAATCTCAGCCACCCAGAGAGTGGAGGGGGGATTTCCTTGCCAGCTCTAGGCTCAGGATTGTCTCTCTAGCAACTCCTAAGTTTCAGAGTTCCAGAATCCAGCTTTCCAGTGAGAAAAGACTTCCTGGCAAAACCATTCTCTTGAGGAAAACAGTATAATACACATGTGCTCAAAACTAGAGGAGCAACAGTCTAAGTCACAATATGAGGGTACAAAAAGCCTGTTCTTTGCCTTTCGCTGCTACCATGAGTTATTTGGACATTTCAGGGATGGTGGAGGAAGGGTTTGTAATAACATGGAAGCTCACTGAGAGTAAGGACTATCAAAGCATTGTGCCGGACATATACTAGGCATTTAGGAAGTGCTTATTGCATGATTGATTGCCTGCTTCTCTAACAAGCCCGAGTACAAGGGTATCCAAGCCTTCAAGATAGTATCATAAGGCATGGAACTTTATGGATATCTGAGGTAAAAAGTGGGACATATCAGAATGTTGGAAGCTGCTGTTTTCCTAGCAACTTCCAGTTAATTTCATTCATTTTTGAAGGGGATATAAACCACCGGCCACTATGATTTAGGGGACTACATATATTCTGAAAGGGTAGGGGGACAGGAGAAGGGGAGTGATATGAAACTCATTGGAAAAAGAAGGGGAATGTTATCTACTATTTATGATCTGCTGTAAATACTTACGTTTTTCTGCATCAACTGTAGTGTGGAATAAAGGCTATACCCAATACGGCTTTGTTACCTTGAATGCTCATATGGGATCTTGCTGCCCTTTGAACTACATCTGTGGAGACCTGTGTATAAGCTACATAAGCTATAGTTGGGAGAATTCCCACAGGAAACTCTAGGTAGTGGCAACATAAAAAAAAAAAAAAAAGAAGAGAGTGATTTGGGGATGCTGTCCCTCAAGATTGAACCAAATTCATATAAATCCAGAAGCTGGGGTTCTTGGCCATAGGTTACATATAATTCTAAGTTCATAGGCTCATAGATTTAGAGCCAGAAGGGACCTTCAAGGCTGAGACCAATATTCTCATTTGACATATGAGGAAACTGAGGCACAAGTTAAGTGACTTGACCAGCATCACACAATTAATAAGTTTCTGAGGTGAATTTGAACCTAGGTCTTCCTCACTCTAAGACTAGCCCTCTATCTACTACTTCATGCTGCTGCTATAACTCTACCATGAATAAAAGAATTGAAGAAAAATAATTACTGATAAACTCACATTTTTATGGCACGTTAAGGTTTACAAAACACTTCCCTCAAACAACTCTGTAAGGAAGGGGAGGGCAAGGTCAATGATTTCTTGGAGAAATGAACAAGCCTCTTCTGGGTAAAGGGAGGCTGCTTTCTGGTTATGGGCCAATGCTGGCTCCCTCCTGTATTAGATCAGAGGCCTTCTAGCCTTTTTTTCTTTTTTTTACAAGTTGTCCTAGTTCCCCTCTGAACGCCTTGATTCTTTCGGGGGGGGGGGTTCCCCTGTGTTGTTTGTTCTTATGGGGACCTCACACATTCTGCTATGCTATAAGCTGCTTTGGGATGTTGAGGACAGAAAACACTGAAGGATCTTAGATAAGATAAACTGTGTGTCACAAGGTCAGTGACAACTTCTAAACTATTCCCTCTTTTTCCAGGCATAGCTGAGTCAGAGGTCATAGGACCCTGATGTGGGTGTCCTAGAATGTAGATAGCCAGGTGGCACAGTGAATAGAGCACTGGACCTGGAGGCAGAAAAACCTGAGTTCAAATGCCTTCTAGCCTTTAATACAATCACTTCCTTCAGTGGTTACTGAGGGTAACTACCAAAACACTACTCTTTCTCCTTAGATGAAACAATATTCAAAAGCTTTCCTAAGGCCTTTCTGAAAGGCCTACAGAACAGTGATCTCAGCTCCACACTCAGATTCCATGGTTCTTGACTCCTAGACTGTCCGGATCAGTTTCCAGATTGGTATCACTTCTGACCTCTCATTCAGGCACAAACAGCAGAGCTTAGGGGTCAATGAACCGGTTTCTTCACAGTATGCAGGAAGTGACACCTGCTACCTGCTTCTTTAAATAATTCCAGCTAAAGTCTCTTTAGCCACTTCTGCTTTGGGCCCAGCCTTATAACCCTGACCTCAGCCTCCAATTACTATACCAACAGCAGTCTCTAAATCCTGTTTTGCAGTGGGAACTCAGTAACAATTCTGGGCCCCCCATCATTGTAGGTCCGTAGTGGGATTATTGAGTTAAGAGATGACTTCAGTTCACCAGAATAAATACCCTCTTGAAGTTGATGGCTACTTACAGTGGAACAGCTCACTGCTGAAGGCTGGGATTATTAATCTCTTTGAAGTGTACATATGCTGTGACCCTGTATGTATACTGTACCAATGTCTACAAAGCCTGTGATGGTGACTTACTACATAGATTGGGGGGGGGGGGAAGAAGGGGAGGAGTGGTTTACAGTGAAAAGCATAAAGCAAGGAGAGACAGTAGAGTATACTGAAACAGAGTGCTGGACATGGGGTCAGAGGAAGTCAGGACTAGCTCGCTAAGGTCCCTTCTGGTTCTAGACTCCTAGGTCCTAAGCACTCGTCCAATCTTTGCTCTCTTTCCCCATCTCCAAGGACAACATGCCTGGATTTGGAGTCAGAATGTCAGACTTTAGTACTGACTCTATCTATATCTTACTAGCTCTGTGACCCTGGGCAAATCACTCTCTGGGCCTCAGTTTCCTCATCTGTAAAATAGAGAGACTAATACTTAAGTTATCTGTTTCACTGAGTTATGAAAAAATACTTTGTCAATCATAAAGAACTATAGAAATATGAGCTATTATTAATGCTATTATATCAGATACAATAACATATGCTGGCTCATATTTCTATAGGTTCTTTATTTGTAGCAATTCATTTTTCATTCAGAGTAGTAATAATAATTGAGAATTATGAAGTTTAATCATTTGCTAGCAAAATAAAGACAATTTCCACCTGATCAGTCAACAAAGCATATCTCAGTCTTTACTTACTGTATCACTCAAAAGAGTAAAGGATCTGAAATGCTGTGAAATCCCCCCAATTTCCACTGATTTAAGCCCTGTGCTCAGGCCTTTCCTTAAGTCCAGCACTGATTAATTTAACCCCACGCAGAGAAATAGAAATGGTCCATGGAAAGGAGGAATGGTCATCGTTACAAAGTAGTAGTAACTGACCAGATACACATAGAACATTAGAACTAGATGAGATATCAGAGCATGGAACACAGAATATTAGAGCTAGAAGGGACTTGGAGATCATCTGGTCTAACGCCCCTCATTTGGCAGAATGAGAAACCAGAGCTTGTGCTTCCTAATCGATCAGTTGGAGGCCCCTGCTTCAGGGCAAGCCTTGAGGGCTCGACTTTTATTTATTATTATAATATCTGGAAATGGGATAATTTCCCCCCCCCCATTCACATTTGAACCACGTACTCCGATATAACATTCACTGGGCATAAAGTTGAAGGACCTGGGTTTGAATTCTGATTCAGCTACTTGCTGGCAAAAGGAATTTGGGCAATCAGTTAACCCCTCAAGGCCTCAATTTCCTTGACTATAAAGTGAGGAGGTTGGATTAGGTGAACTCTAAAGGACCTCCCAAGTCTGGGTCCTTTTAAAGTCTTATTTGATCCTTGGTTTCTCCCTCACTCTTTAAGAACCACATATATGCCTCTACACAGAAAACATGAAAAACTGCTAGAAATTCATCCCCCATATCTGTGTCAGTTCAAACAGTGCAGAGTCCCCTCAGGGACCAGAAATATTTTCTTCCCAAAGGCCAGATTCCTTTCAAGTTCTGACCTAAGTCTGCATGAGTTTTGGCTCAAAGTTTTGCCTTTTCAATGGTAAACTTTTGAAATACATTTAAATTACTTTTCAGGGATGATGAATGGGAGCCCCAACATCCTAAAATATTATCCATCCACCCCCACAGTGCCTGCGACCCACTGTGATCCTGCCCATGCTCTGTAACAACAATGATTGTAAACCTCCCTTTCAGTACCAAAGTGGCTCCTTATATTTATGCATCTGAAAACAGATAACCACCCAAGAGCTTACATGCTCTGCTTGTTTGCCAAAAATAAATAGCAAATTATAAAAACATGGAAAAGAAAACACCATGTCCCAAAAGTAAATGAGGACTGACTATGTTTTCGGCTTTTAAATGCCATGGCATTTAAAATGCCATCTACTTCAACATTTGTTCTTAGAACCATAAGATGTCTGATAAAGAAAAAAGCTTGGAAGAGAAAATGTTGGCATTGGAAGGGTCCTCAGAACATAGACTATCAGGAGTGGGAAGAGCCTTAAGACGCTGATTACAGCTTTAAAAACTACATACACCTTAATTCTCTCATGCTACAGCTAAGGAAACAGAAGTACCGAAAGGTCAAAGTAATGTCTCCAATGGCACACAGCCTATCAACCTAGTTGGTGGCAGAACCAGAATTAGAACCCAGATCCCTTGTATTTCAGACCAATATTTCTTTCTACTATACCAAGGCAGATAGTCAAAACATAATCATATAACTTTATGAAACTTATTGACATTCCTAATCCCAAATTAAATATCCACTTTCTCTAGACAAAACCCAACAGGAACACATTTAGATGACACAACAGCCTTAAGAAGTTTCAGATAAAGCCACCATTTTCAGGGCAAATATATATATAATTCTATACATATCACACATATAAAAACAGCTGTTCAGTTATCAACATGCCATCTATGTGTCTTCCTAGAGAGCTCATCTCTAGACTTTGCCTCTGCTTCTGCTTGGAAGGGATTTGAAGTTCTACTTACAGAATGAAACTCTCTGGGCCCTGGGAATTTCCAGCTGAGAACTAGGCATGTAAAGTAAGGAGTCCTGGTCACCAGCCTGGCTGTCAGCAAAAGAGAAAGGATGGATTGACTGGTGCAGCAGTGCACTTAGAGAGCTGGCTTCCTCTCTATCTCCTAAATGAAATGTACTTTGAGGCTTTAGTGGGAGTTTCCCACATAGCTTGCCAAGCAAGTCCCCATTTGCTGTAATGCTATGCTCAGCCTGATGATGTCAACCAGTCATTTGCCTAGCTTCCACCTCGAAGTCCACAGCAGAGATCCATTTCCTTAGGACAATGAGCTTGGTGCTGTAACTTCATTCCAGGCTGGCCACAGATGTCTGACATCCTTCCTTCCATTTTCAGCACTGCTGCGTCAGTGACAAAAGGTTTCCTATTCACAGTTCACTAGCCCTGGGTTCCAGGCATCCTTGTCCTTTGTTTCTTACTGCCTGATGACTAGTTTGTAATGTTTGCTTTGCAGCGTTTCAATTATTTTCTTCAGAGTAGGGTGTTTTCCCCATTGCCTTTTTCCTGTCAAGCTGATGAAATTGTTTGGTTTCCCACAGAAGTTCATTAATGAATATGTATTAAGCCCAAACACTAGGCAGAGCATTGTACTAGGTGCTTCATGCCAGCAGCTCATGTTTAACTCAGGCTTTCCTCACAATCATGTGAAGTAGGTGGTGCAACTGTTATCCTCCTTTTACAAATGAGGGAACTGAAATTCAGAAGAAGCTTGCCCCAGTGTCACACAGCTGGGTTTTGGCCTAAATGACTCCTAGACCAATGTTCTTTATACCAACCACAATGCCTCCTACAAGACATGATATAGGCTAAAGAATATTTTAGAAATGAAAATATGAATGCATTCCAAAATGGTTTGGGCAAACTGATGGATAACAGCTAATTCTCCAAGTTCACACAAGAAAGGCCGACTTTCTTCTTTCACAGTACATCCTGCAGGGCTTCTGATGGCAACCCAACAGTGGGCCGGCTCAACTTCGTTCCAAGTTTATTAATTTATTTAATTTATTGCTTGGCTGTGGGCAAGTCACTTTCCTTTTCTGGGGCACAGTTTTCAAATCTATAAGATGAAAGGATTGGATTAGATGAACTCTTAAGATCTCTTCCAGTTTGGATATTCTATATTCTGTTATAAAGGGAAACTTTCAGCTCTAACAAAATGCAGAGTTCTATGATTCAATTTCCCTTTCTGAAGCAGTTTTACCACCCATAAAGTAAGAACACCAGAACTTCCTTCCTATATCTCAAGGATGCTGTGAGAATGAAAAATATCCACTAAGTCAAAAGCTCTGATGTCTCTGGATAAAAGCACTAAATAAATTGAAGACATTATCATTAGTAATGGAGCAAAATTCTCCTGAGTATCATAGGAAGTATCCTCAGAAGCCCATTCAGCTTAAAGGGCTTGCATTAATGCTGTAATTGGTAAAGTATGCCTTCTTTACAACAGCCTGCACGGGCTTCAGGAAGCACAGTTTCCAGACAGGTCAGTTGACTGAATCATGTATTCTCTTTGCACTGAATCATGCACTAACACTTATCCAAAATTAAGGAACATATACACACAAAAACAAAGCCATCATTTTCTCCTTTTACACCATTAATTTGTAAAACTTTCCCTGCAGAGAAAACTATTCTCCATTTATCAACTAATCTGTAGGAAAAATACCTTAACACCACCATTTAAGTGACGTGGTCTTAAAGGAATTTACTCCCAAGTACTGTGTGGTTTTTTATGCCCCTGTCCGTGTGGTGTAGTGTAAAAGACACCAGGTTCAGTCAACAGAGCCGGGTTTGAGTCCTACTTGGTGTGGCCTTGAGCAAATGACTTCCCTTCTCAAAGCCTCATTGTCTCCATCTACAACATGAAGAGAATACAGCTTGCACTGCTTACCTCTGGAGTAGTTCTTTTTAAAAAAAGTCTTTGATATTTTCTGTTCCTTATTTCAGCACAGTATCTCATGTATCTCTCCCCTTTGCCTTTCTCAGAGAGCTATCCCCTATGACAAATAGTATTTTTTAAAGAGAATTTTTTAAAAAGTCAGCACAAATCATCAATACATTGAAATAGTCCAAACGTATGTGCAGTGTGCAACATCTGTGGACCTCCCACCTCCACAAAGGGCATCTTCTCATTTCTTTTTATTTGAGTCCCTTCTGATCTTTACAATTTTGTTACACTTTTGATTTTTGGTGTGTTGTTTTTCCATTTACATTATTGTAATCACTGTGTATATTATTTTCTTGGCTCTGCTTACTTCGCTCTGCATCAGTTCATATAGATCTTTCTATGCTTCTCTGTATCCATTACATATATCATTTCTTACAGCATAGTAATATTCCACTACATTCATGTACCACAATTGGTTTAGCCATTTCTCAACTGATGGGCATCCACTTTGTTCCAATTCCTAGCTATCACAAAAAGTGCTGCTATAAATATTTTGGAGTATATGGGACCTTACTGATAGCTTATTGGGGTATAAGTCCAATAATGGAGTCTCTGGTTCAAAGGGTATGGACATTTTAGTCACTTTATTTGCATAATTTCAAATTGCTTCCCAGAATGGTCACACCATTTCAAAGAACTCCACCAACAATTGTATGTGCCTGTCTTTCTGTAACCCCTCCAACACTATTGCCATTTTTTTTTGTACTTTTTGCCAATTTGCAGGTAAAAAATCAGGGTTGTTTTGATGTGCATTTCTCTTATTTTCAGTGATTTTGAGCATTTTTCCATATGGTTGTGAATACACAGTTTTCACTTTGAGAACTGTCTGTTCATATCCTTTGACCATCTATTGGGGAAAATACTATTAGTCATATTATATATATATATATATATATACACACACACACACACACATACAAATATACATACACACATATATGTATGCCCATGTATATACATATATATGTATAAATATATATTTGTTAATTACTTCTGTATCTTGAATATCAAACCCATATCAGAGAAATTTGAAACAAAGATTTTTACTTATTTGACAACCTTCAAGTAGTTTTTAAGGGTTGAATGAGTTAATACACATGAAAACTTTTTGTAACCTTAATATGCTTTATTTACAGGATTCCAGGAGCTCAGATTGGAGGACATCTGGCCTTGCTTTTACAAATGAAGGAAGTGTGGCCTAGAAATATTAAGGGACTCTATTGCCCAAGGTCATAGAGATACTAAGTAGGCAGACCCAGGATTCAAACTCAGGTCCTCTGACTTTAAATCCGGTATTCTTTCAAATGCACCACAATGAGTATTTATTATATATACATATAATATAATATATTATATTTATATTTTAAGGTAAAGAAATGTAAGGCCTAGCATTCACTGTATAAAGGGTAGAAGAGAATCACAGGATCATCAACATTAAGATTTAGACAAGATTTTAAACTATTCAGTCCACCCACTTTATTAACCCCAGAAGAGGATAAAAGTGGGACAGACACAGAGAAAGGAAGAGGCTTGCCCAAGATCACATAGCAGGTTAGTCAGTGGCAGAGCTAGGACTGGAAACCAGGTGTCCTAACACTTAATCTAGAGTTTTGTCCACTATAACAGGTTACTATCTAGCTGGTTAGCAAAGAACTTGAAACATAATACAGAGATTTTCCTTCTTGTCATTCTCCTTTCCCTGTTCCTTCCCTGGATCCATATATCCATATTAATAAGCACCACAACTCAAAAACTAAGACTTTTTTTTAAGGCAATTGGGGTTAAGTGACTTGCCCAGGGTCACACAGCTAGTAAGTGTCAAATTTGGTCTGAGGCTGGATTTGAATTCAGGTCCTCCTGACTTCAGGGCTGGTGCTCTATCCACTGTGCTGCAAAAACTAAGACTTTTAAACCCAACCATTTTTGATGATAAGATACATTATTTTCTCAAAAAAAAAATTAAAAAGCACCATCATTATAGTGCCCAAGACATTTTCTGTATTGATTGGGGAACTTTCCTGACACTTTGGCTTATTCTTATCTATCTTTCTAGTTTTAAGAGACTTGCTACCCTCTCTGCTCCTAGCCATGCTTCCTCCCTACCTCCCCAAATCCTTATAGCTCAGCCCACATGGACATCACCAACATACAGTAATGCTGCTGCTGGGCTGAGGACATTTTGGCATAGACAGGTGTGATTAAGCTTAGCCTGGAGGAGGAGAAAGCACCCAAGGAGTGGATGGATTGGGGAAACATGAGCCAGTTGGTTTCCTGACAGGACCAAAGAAATAGCATTTTCACCCAAATAAGGGCTGTGTGTACAGGAAACAGGCTCCTTCCCTGGAAGAGAAGTGTGGTGTAGAGACAACGTAGAATGGAGGGTTCCATGGAGTCACAGAAGTTCAATTTGATAAAACTGAATTCCACAAATATTTATTATGCATCAACTACGTACAAGGCACTGTCAGTCTGAAAGAGATCTTAGAGATCATCTAGTCTTCTTAAACAGGAGGAAAGAGAGACCCAGAGAAATGAAGTCACTTGCCCAAGGTCACATAAGTAGTTAGGAGCAGAGTAAGGATTCACACCAGGTGCTCTGACTAAAAATCCAGCATTCTTTCCACTATACCACTCACTGCCTCTTCATACCCTACTTATGACTGCTCAATATAATGGGCTCTTGCAAATGGATGCAACAGAAGTGGAAAAATATGTAGGAGGCTCTGATTTTTTCCAAAAGGAAAATTTTAAAAATAAACTATGGAATGTCCAAAACTGTTCTCAGGACAACATTTTGCTTGGCTTATTCAAGGGGCTTTTGAAATGTCTACGACTTGCAGAAAATTTAGCTAGTTAGGCTGGAGTGTGCTCAGTGATCCACTCAGGGCAGCTCTGAAAGCAAATAACTCCCTACTCAGGAAGCAGCCATGTGCACGTTGGCCTTGAAAAGAGAGAGTGTGTGGCAATGGAATATGCCTCTCAGTAATTAGCCATGTGCTTCTGTCTTTTTATAGTATCTATAAAATTTGTGATCTAAACGGTTCTGTAACAGGCCAAGAGTTGGCAATGGTGTAAAAGGAGTAAAAAAAAAGCTGGGCAAAGAAGACAAATTTCATTCCAGGTCACAGATGCCACATTACAATCTTGTCAAATCTTTGACATTCTCCCAGTCCAGGGAAGGAGCTTGATCCCTACAGAAAGAAGAGCCCAAGTTTGGGCTGAAATGATGCTTTCTTGGCTCGGTTACTCGGGCTCCTAAACAATGGGCCAGCAACAGCAAAGAGGGAAAGAAACTGTTTACTTGCAGCTAAAACTATTTATAGACCTGGCAATCTGCTCGGATTCTGGATGATAAATCTCTATGTTTCAAGTGAGCAGTTGTTTTGCTTCTGGAAAGTTTCACCAAACAAGTCTGTTCCCTTTATTGTCCCCGGAAGAAGACCACTCCTCAACTCACGCTGTTCTCAGGAAGTTTTATTTGGGCTTCTGTTAAAACACACACACACACACACACACACACACACAACACACACACATGCACACTCACACACACAACT